TTTTTGTTGTGGTTCAGTCGTTAAATTGTGTCTGACTCTTCGCGACCCCCCCCCCCACATGGACCACAGCACGCCAGCCCTCCCCCCTTTTCGATACAGGTAGTCTTCCACTTACGACCACAATTGACCCCAAAATTTATGCTGTTAAGTGAGAAATTTGTTAAGTGAGTCTTGCCCCAATTTAGGATTTTTTCCTTGCCACCTTTGTTAAGTCAATCACTGTAGTTGTTAAATTAGTAACAACGGTCGTTAAGTGAATCTGATTTCCCCCTTGACTTTGCTGGTCAGAAGGTTGCAGATGACATGACCCCGGGACACTGCAACCGTCGTAAGTGTGAATCAGTTGTTCAAGCTTCCAAATGTAAATCACGTGACCATGGGGGTGGGGGAATGCTGCAATGGTGATCAATGTGAAAAACTGTCGTAAGTCATTATTTTCAGTACCGTTGTAACTTCGAACGGCCACCAAGCAAACTTATTTATTTATTGTTTATTTATTGGTTCGATTTATATGCCGCCGTTTTCCGGAGACTCAGGGCGGCTTACAATGCGTTAAGCAATAGCCTTCATACTTTTGTATATACCTGCTTAGTAGGGCTTTTGCCCCCCCCCAAGCGGTGTTCTATTTTATACAAAGTCAGCTTATTGCCCCCACAATCCGGGTCCTCATTTTACCTACCTCGGAAGGATGGAAAGCTGAGTCAACCTTGAGCCTGGTGAGATTCAAACTCGCAGTAATTGCAGGCAGCTGGTGTTATTTAATAGTGCTTTAGTCTGCTGCGCCACCAAGGCTCTTAAACTGTTGTTAAATCGAGGATTACCTGTACGCAACTGTGGCACAAAAGGTTGTAAAATGGGGCAAAGCTCACTTAAGGACTGTCTTGCTTATAGCAAGGGAAATTTGGGGCTCAATTGTGGATCCTAAATCCAGGACTAGCTGTAGTGAGAAACCACCGAGCGGCTTTCGAAAATCTGCTTTTTCAGTCCCTTTGCGATCAGCGGAAGGTATCCTTCCCTCTGTCCAGCTACGGAGAGAAACTGACACCTATTGGTAACTTTCAGATTATTCCAAACGGATTCCTATTTTTTTTTTTTCCTCTCCTCCTCCAAGCTGCTTCCAGTTTTACAGCGGGGCGCACGGAAATGTTGCAACCCAGAGACTAAGTCAATCCAAGGCATGTCTCCTCTCGTCCCCCCCCCCCACCTTCCACCCCACCACAGTAAATTCTGAGCATACTTAGCTTGTAGCTTTCCTTTTAAGGTCAAAACCTTAAGCTTGGGATCCCAGCATCTTTTAGTGCAGTGGGAGCCTATCGGTAAACAAACATACATCAAGGACCTTTTCAAGAAGGTTAGAAGGAGCTGCGGCCGAACATCTGGGGCAAAAGGCAGATGATTTTTTTTTATTTTTATTTTTTTTACTGCTTCTTTGAAGACAGTTGGCATTTGGGGGGATTTTTGGCCTCTGAACCGGGCGACTTACAAATCTGTTCCTACAGAAGTCGAAAAGAGCATGTGAAAGTTGACTGCCCCGTTTCTGGTTTATAAATGGATAGTCTGCTTTCCCACTCGGCCTGCAAATCTCTCCTAGCAGAAATGAAATAGGAATTTCGGATATTTTTGATAGCAATAGCAATAGCACTTAGACTTATATACCGCTTCACTGTGCTTCACCGCCCTCTCTAAGCTGTTTTTAATAGAGTTCCTTTCCTTTCCTTTCCTTTCCTTTCCTTTCCTTTCCTTTCCTTTCTTTTCCTCCCTCCCTTCGCAATTACACTTAAGTCTTATATACCGCTTCACAGCGCTTTTACAGCCCTCTCTAAGTGGTTTACAGTGTCAGCCTCTTGCCCCCACAATCTGGGTCCTCATTTTTTTTTTTTAATTTGATTTATATGCCGCCCTTCTCCGGAGACTCAGGGCGGCTTACAATGCATTAAGCAATAGCCTTCATACTTTTCTATATTTTATATAAAGTCAGCTAATTGCCCCCACAACTGGGTCCTCATTTTACCCACCTTAGAAAGGATGGAAGGCTGAGTCAACCTTGAGCCTTGGAGAGATTCGAACCAGCAGTAATTGCACTCAGCTGTGTTAATAACAGGGTGCTTAGACCACTGTACTATCAAGGCTCATTTGACTGACCTCGGGAAGAATGGAAGGCTGAGTCAACCTTGAGCCTGGTGAGATTCAAACTGCCAAATTGCAGGCAGCCGGCAGTCAGCAGAAGTAGCCTGCAGTACCACATTCTAACCACTGCGCCACCATGGCTCTACACCTATACCCAAGGTGTAGCTAGGGTTGCTCTTCTAGGACTGTGTTTCCTAGTCTTGGCGAATTGAAAGTGAGTGGACTTCAAGTCCCAGAATTCTCAGCAATGTGGAATTCTGGGAGTTGAAGTCCATATACCTGGAAATTGTCAGGGTTAGGAAACCCAATTCTAGGGTAAAAATTGGAGGCACGCTTTATCTTAGTTTATACTTTCCGCAGGCAACAATTCCAATTTATTTATTTATTTATTTATTTGTTTGTTTGTTTGTTTGTTTGTTTGTTTATTTATTTATTTATTTATTTATTTATTTATTTATTTAAATTTGTATACCGCCCTTCTCCCGAAGGACTCAGGGCGGGGCACAGCCAAAATTAAAATACATACAATACAAAATTTAAAATAATTTAAAAGCAGAATTAAATCGAATTGGCTTCCCAAAACATTAAAACCCATTACCCTTAAAATAACCCATTAAAATTTTAAGCCAGCCCAGCTTGCTGAAATAGGAAGGTCTTCAAAGCTCGACGGAAGGTCTGGAGGTCCGGGATCAGTCGTATCCCTGGGGGTAGCTCATTCCAGAGGGCGGGTGCCCCCACAGAGAAGGCTCTCCCCCTAGGGGTCGTCAGTTGACATTGCTTGACCGACGGCACACTAAGGAGGCCCTCTCTGTGGGACCGAGTTGGCCGGTGGGAGGTTATCGGTGGCAGAAGGTGGTCTCACAAATAACCGAGCCCTAAGCTATGGAGCGCTTTAAAGGTGAGAACCAATACCTTGAAGCGCACCCGGAAGACCACCGGAAGCCAGTGCAGCTCGCGCAGGCAAGGTGTCACATGGGAGCGCCATGTCGCCCCCATAATTACCCGCGCGGCCGCGTTCTGGACCAGCTGGAGCTTCCGAGTGCTCCTCAAGGGGAGCCCCATGTAGAGAGCATTGCAGTAGTTATTAGTGATGACTGAGTAGGGGGAAGAAGGACAGGCCCTTCAAAGTGTCTTCAAAGCACTTATTTTGCTTCCATGTCTAGAAAATCACCTCAGAGAACATTTTTTCTGCAGGGGGTAAACCAGGAAATTGGTGCAGGCACTGAGTACCAATCTCTGGGCATGTGCTTAAAGATATTTCGTTCTTTTTAATATTTAGCTCCTTAGAACCCCCATTTTGGATACAACAGGCTTCAACGTACTCATAAAAAAATAAAGGCCGTTCCCTCAAGCCAAAATTCCATCTTAGAAGATGGTGAGGTCACACTGATTAGAAACGTGATATCCATTTATTTAAAAAATAGAGGGGAAAAAAACCCACATTAAACTTTAGTGCTCCTATATTCTGGGAAAATACTGTATGGGTAGTCCCAGTGGTGAAATCCAATTTTTTTTACTACCGGTTCTGTGGGCATGGCTTGGTGGGCATGGTGTAGCTTGATAGGCATGGCTTGGTGGGCATGGCAGGGGAAAGATACTGCAAAATCCCCATTCCCTCCCCACTCTGGGACCAGCCAGAGGTGGTATTTGTCGGTTCTCTGAACTACTCAAAATTTCTGCTACAGGTTCTCCAGAACCTATCAAAACCTGCTGGATTTTACCCCTGGTAGTCCTCAGCGTATGACTACAATTAGACTTAGACTTAGAATAACTTTATTGTCACTTTAAATGTATACTAATTGCCGTACATTAAAATAAAATTTCATTGCATACAGCTCTCAAAGGGTCATCACCTCCAATATACGCTACCTAAACAGGACACACACACAGACACACACACATATATATATGCATATACCCACATATATTATATGACACATAGAATTGAACCCAAAAGTTTCATTGCTAAGCAGGGCAGTTGTTAAGTGAGCCACATCCCATTTTATGACTTTTTGCCACGACAGTGAAGCAAACCACTTGTGGTTGTTAAGTGAATCATGCAGTCGTTAAGCAAATCTGGCTCCCCCGTTGACTTTGCTTGCCAGAGGGAAGGTTGCAAATGACAATCCCAGGACTCGGGGATGCTACAACCTGTTCTGCCCCAGCTACGGACCCCAAAGAACGTAGCACACATACAGGCCACAACACAACCATCGTAAATACATGGCGGTTGCCAAGGGCCCCAATTTTGATCATGCGACCGTGGTTATCCCAAGGCCATCCATCTGGTTTTTATGGCAAAGGCGGGACTAGAACTCTTCGTCTCCTGGCTTCTAGCCTGGTGCCTTAATCAAACTGGCTCTCTTATACTACTGACCCAAATCCTAAACCACTGCTTGAACCGAATCATTTCTGGAGTCAGAAAAAAATATTATACAGGCAGTCCTTGACTTACGACAGTTCATTTAGTGACTATTTAAAGTTACAACGGCACTGGGAAATGTGAGTTATGATCGTTTCTCACAGTTATGACCTTTGTAGCAGTCCCATGATCAGGTGATCAAAATTCGGATGCTTGGCAATTGGTTCGTACTTATGACGGTTGCAGTCTCCCAGGGTCATGTAATCCCGTTTTGCGACCTTCTGACCGGCAAAGTCAATGGGGAAGGCAGACTCACCTTAACAACCCAGGTTACTAACCTATCAACTGCTGTGATTCACTTAACAACTGTGGAAAGGAAGGTCGTAAAAGGGGGCAAAACTCACTTAACCATCGTCTCACTTCACAACAGAATTTATGGGCTCAATTGTGGCGGTAAATCAAGGACTACCTGTAATATGGAAGTCAATGAGAAACCATTTCGAAGACTTACTTGTGACAAAGAATTTTTTAGTGAAAGTGCAGCTGTCGAAGGCAGCAATCTTCTCTTGCAAGACAACAACAAGAATCCTGAAAATACACAAACATACATTTGTGAAAAAGTAGAGAATACCTGAAGTGCAAAATGCTCTAAAAATGTGCTTCCTATTTCGCCCCTCTTTTTGTAATATTATCTCACTCAAGAGATCCATGCAGGTAAATCATTTACAAGAGAAATGGAGTGAAGAAATACACCATATGTGTGAAGACGATTATGAGAAAAACTGTATCTACGATTAGGGATACGGTGTGCGCGAATGTCTTTGTGTTTGCAGGCACGTATAGCATCCATCTGTACATACGTTTATTTTTATATGTTTATTTTAAAGAGGAAAATATGTTCTTATTTGGCTATCACTTCTGGAATTTGTGCTTGTGGGGAAAAAAATAAACTTTGATTTTGCTTTTAGTTTAGTTTAGTTTAGTTTATTTGATTTGTATACCGCCCTACTCCCGAAGGACTCAGGGCGGTGAACAGCCAAGCAATAAAATACATAGATACAAAAAATTTAAAAACCAGATAAAATCAAATTAAATCATTTTGGCCCAGACAGATTAAAACACCCCAATAATTTAAAAACAGATTTAAAATTTACATATTTAAAAAAGGGAAGAGATTAGGCCAAGCCCGCCTGATGGAATAAAAAGGTCTTCACAGCGCGGCGGAAGGTGCGCAGATCCGGGATCCTCCGTATCTCTGGGGGGAACTCGTTCCAGATAGTAGGTGCCCCCACAGAGAAGGCTCTCCCCCTAGGGGTTGCCAGCCGACACTGTTTGGCTGACGGCACCCGGAGGAGTCCCTCTCTATGAGAGCGTACTGGCCGGTGGGAGGCTATTGGTGGTAGTAGGCGGTCCCGTAGATAGTTTTGCTGATCAGAAAGATTTGGTGTTACAGAAATGGCTACTTAATAAAGGGACGAGGAAAAGGGGGTGTGAAATACAAGGGGGAGGGGAAAAAAAGAAAGTAAAAGGGGGCATTGACTTCCAACCTTTCCCAGCACAGTACAAGATAACACACTCCAGCCTCAACTTTTTGCTTTTACACGTTAATAAATAATTAATAGTTAATAATGTGTAAAAGCAAAAAGTTGAGGCTGGAGTGTGTTATCTTGTACTGTGCTGGGAAGGGTTGGAAGTCAATGCCCCCTTTTACTTTCTTTTTTTCCCCTCTCCCTTGTATTTCACACCCCCTTTTCCTCGTCCCTTTTTCCGCCCTTTTCCTAGTATGATTTGATTGCTTATTTGTACCCTATGACCATCATTAAGTGTTGTACCTGATGATTCTTGACGAACCTATCTTGTCTTTTATGTACACTGAGAGCGTATGCACCAAAGACAAATTCCTTGTGTGTCCAATCACGCTTGGCCAAAAAAATTTATATTCTATTCTATTCCCCTTCTTATTCTGTTCTGTTCTGTTGTTCTGTTCTGTTCTGTTCTGTTCTGTTCTATTCTCTTTCCTATTCTATTCTACTTTATTCTCTTTCCTATTCTATTCTATTCTATTCCTTTTATTCTATTCTATTCTATTCTATTCTATTCTATTCTATTCTATTCTATTCTATTCTATTATTTCCTATTCTATTCTATTCTACTCTACTCTACTCTACTCTACTCTACTCTATTCTAATTTCCTATTTTCTTTTCTTTCTTTCTTTCTTTTCTGTATTTTATATTTTATATAATAAAATAAAAATGATATTTGGACGTATTTGTGGGTATAGAAGCACAGGAAGTTGAGGAGAGAACGATGTCTTATGTCCATCTTAAGAAAAACCGTCCACGTTACACAAAATACTTCGATGTGATATTTCGGTGTATTGGCTACCACTGCAGTTTTTGTAAGCTGCCTAGAACAACCAAGGTTAAACTTGACAGAAGTTGTTTTATTGCTTTTTTTTTTAGAGGGGGGGTTTACTGCAGTCATTAAGCCGAATTTCAGTTTACACGACGAAAATAAAACTAGTTTTTAGCAAGGACCTGATAATTTGCTTTAACTTAATTCTGTGCAACTTTTATTTATAAATAAAACCATAAAAGTGCAGTTGAAATATGTTGTAATTTTAAATGAGTATTTCTAAGGCACGGAAAGTATAGGGTGGGATAGAAATGTTTGTAAATATTAAATTAAAAAATGTAACAAAACAATACCAGCACCTCTCTAGCTTTCTTTCTTTCTTTCTTTCTTTCTTTCTTTCTTTCTTTTTTTTTCTTTCTTTCTCTCTTTTTTCTTTCTGCTTTCCTTTTCTCCCTCTATCCACATTTTTTCTCTCTATTCTTTCTTTTCTTTCTTTCTGTTCCTTCCTTCTGTCCATTTTCTTTCCTTCTCTATATATTCCTTCTTTCCTTCCTTTTTCCTTCTTCCTTCCTTCCTTCTATTCACCTTCCTTCCTTCTATCCACTTTCCTTCCTTCCTTCCTTCCATTTTCTTTCCTTCTCTCTATATTCCATCCTTCCTTCTTTTCTCCTTTTCTTTCTCCCTTCCTTCTATCCACCTTCCTTCCTTCCCTTTTATTCCTTCTTTCGTATCCTACTCAGTGGTCTTGAATAATAAGGGTCAGCAAAGTTGTATGTCATAGCCAATAGCAGATTCAACAGAATAAAACTTTCAGATGTGTAGCACGACAGCTTTTCGATATTCATGGGAAACAATTAGGGCACCCATGAAGGCGGTTGCGGGGGGGGGGGGAGAGTTGAGTGAGATCGTACCTTGTTAACAAAACTGGCATTATACCTCATGTAATTTTTTTAAAACACTCATTTGCTCCAGCAGTTCAGATTGAAAATCCATCAAAAGCACCCAGTATATTAATCTGAAAAGTGTTTCATCCTCAAAAATAATCATATTGCTGTGTTTTTTTTTTATTATTGCAAATCTGCTGGGCCTAATAGCCAGGCCTTATTTGCTAAAAGTGGTTTTTCCTTGCTTTGACCTCCGCTGCCTTCCATACAATGGAATTAAGAGGAGGAGAGAGGGGAAAAAAATCACTTTATGTAATTACCAGGACATGAAATACAAAGACAAAATGTACCAAACAAAATCTCAAGAAGGAGGGGGAGACAATGGGGAGCTGGGTTTGAGGGGTTCTCTGAACAAGAGGCCCTCCTTTCCCCACTCAGAATATGCATCTCATTTATATCCACAGTCCTTCGACCCCTCTATCTCCCTTTGGCTCTTCAGAGAATTTCTCGGGGAGAAAATTATTTCCCTTTTGTCTGTCCCAGGAACAGAGGAAATGGCTTTATAACAGAACCAGGCTATTCACTCTTTTAAGTCCATAATATCTGCCCTCAAGCCATCGTTCTCAATTCTTAGGCGGAAGGAGACTCTTCCCATCATTTCCAACGTGATCCTTTAAACCAGAGAGGCCCAGGAGATATTTTGCAAAGAAAAGGCCTGCATAAGAATGCACCTGGGATCTAAAGCGTGTTGTGCTTCTCTCAAATGTTCCCCTTATTACAAACTTAAATCTGTTTGCTTTAGGCCAGGAGTCTTCAAACTGGGCAACTTTAAGACTGGTGGACTTCAACTCCCAGAATTCCCCAGCCAGAATATTGAGGTCAATCAATCAGAACAGAGCTGGAAGGTACCTTGGAGGTCCTCTAGTCCAACCCACTGCTCAAACAGGAAACTCTATAGTTGTGATGGCGAACCTATGGCACATGCAGAGCCTTCTCTGTGGGCACACGCGCCATCGCCAGCTGCTCTTCTGGTTTCTGGCCTGCACAGGTGCTGGAAAAAGCCTTGAAAATGCCCCAAAAAATGCCCCCAAAATAGGCTGTTTTCTGGGTCATTTTCCAGCCATTTTGGGGCCATTTTTGGGGCTATTTCTGGCCCAAAAATGCCCCAGAAAACGCCCAGAACACGGCCTGAAAATGGTCCAAAAAGGCCTGGTTTTTAACCTTTTTTCAGGCCGTTTTCAGGCCATTTCCCAGTGCTCTGGTGCCCACAAAGACCAGCTGGCTGGCGCACAGGCACGCACGTTCCTGTTTGGGCACTCAGTGCCGAAAAGGTTCGCCATCACTGCCCTATAACATTTCAGTCAAGTGGCAGTCCAGTCTCTTCTTAAAAACCCCCAATATTGGAGCACCCACAACTTCTGGTGGCAAGCTGTTCCACTGGTTAATTGCTCACACTGTTGGTAAGTCTCTCCTTAATTCCAGGTTGCTTCTCTCCTTGATTAGTTTCCGTCCATTGTTTCTTGTCCTGCCTTTTGGTGCTTTGGAAAATAAGTTGACCCCCTCTTTTTTGTGGCAGCCCCTCAAATACTGGAATACCGCTATCATGTCCCTCAGAATTCTTCTTTTCTTTAGACTAGCCAGACCTAAATTCCTGCAACCGTTCTTCATATGTTTTTATCTCCAGGCTTTTAATCATCTCGCAACTAAGATGACTTCTTTGCACTTTTCCCAAAGTCTCAACATCTTTTTGAGATGAGAGGGGTTTTTTTTCCCCTGCCTTTCCATTTAAATAGATTTATGTATTAAAACAAGCCAATCTGGGCCTTTTCTTCCAGCAGTAGCTGCCGAATCTTCTAGCGACATTCAACCCAGGCAGTTGAAACAACATGAAGTGACTGCAATCAAGGCTGAGAGCTTTAAAAACACTGGACGGGAAAGGTATTTGGAGATCAAAAGGGATTTTTACCTTCTGTTGCAGTGGAGATCATAAATAGGTGTTTTGAACTGCACGGATTTGACTACTTCCCCTGTTCTCAAAGAATGGAGATCCACGCAGCAGTAAGGAGGGCTGGTCCTGAAAGAGAAACCAAGGAAATTTAGTTCTGCTATCAACTACTTAAATAACTTGCTGTCAAAAGGCTTGCTGGGATTTATTAAGTTGACAGACAGGATCGGAAGGAAAGAAAAGTCCTTCTGGGTTACTTTTTTTAAAAGCTAAAAAGAAAGCAAAGCAAAATGCAATCATCCAAAACGAATGATAAAAAATAACCCTAAAAAAACGCTACAACAGTGAATTTGAAAGTGCCATACAGGTAGCCCTTGACTTACAACCACAACTGAGCCCAAAATTTCTGTCGCTAAGCAAGGCAGTTGTTAAGTGAGTTTTTTTCCCCATTTTACGACCTTTCCTGCCACAGTTGTTGAGTGAATCGCTGCGGTTGTTAAGTTAGTAACACTGTTAAGTGAATCTGGTTTCCCCGTTGACTTTGCCAGTCAGAAGTTCACGAAAGGTGGAGCCTGAGTGGCGTAGAAGGCTAATGCCTCCTACTAAGGCAGCATTTAACATCCAGCTGCCTGCAATTACTGCGAGTTCAATTCTCACCAGGCTCAAGGTTGACTCAGCCTTCCATCCTTTCTAAGGTAGGTAAAATGAGGACCCAGTTTGTGGGGGCAATAAGCTGACTTTGTATAAAATATACAAAAGAATGAAGGCTATTGCTTAACGCATTGTAAGCTGCCCTGAGTCTCCGGAGAAGGGCGGCATATAAATCAAATTAAAAAATAAATAAAAATCCATGACCCCAGGAACTGGCAACCGTCAAAAATACATGCCAGTTTCTAAGCCTTTAAATTTTGACCACGTGACCATGGGGACGTTGCAACAGTCGCAAGTATGAAAAAGTATCAGTGGTGGGATTCAGCCGGTTCGCACCACTTCGGGAGAACCGGTTGTTAACTTTCTGAGCAATTTGGCAAACTGGTTTTTGGAAGAAATCATTAGGGCAGAGAACCGGTTGTTAAATTACTTGAATCCCACCACTGAAAACAATCCGATGTCATGTTTTTTTTCCTGTTGTAACTTTGGTCACTAAACGAATGGTTGTAAGTCAAGGACTACCTGTACTTAAAAGGGTGAAGGCACAAGGGACGATTAAGAAAACTGGGGAACACAAATGGCTTTTCTAGGCTCCAAGGAGATCAGGAGAAGCAGGTTCCAGGTTAAATCTTTGGGGTGATGCTACGCCAATGAGTAGGACTGGCCATTGATGGAGAAGCTGTGCCACTTAATGGCGGGGCTCCCAGCGAGCCAATCTTCTTTTATAGTGTGTGAAGTCAGGAAGAAAGACAGGCCGTTTATGGTCATGCAACATGATTCCCAAGGAAAACAAAGTCCTGGAGAGGAAATGACTTGGCTCAGTTTTTTCCTAATCCAGAAATTGTTACAAAACGGGGCATGAAAGTCTATAGCAGTGAGGGTTAACCTTTTTGTCGTTGTGTGCCGAAAGCACGCGATGACAAATTGCAATGTGTGAGCGACCCCCCCCCCGCCCTGCCCCCGGTGCCTCACCACAGCCCCCTCCCCCGCCCCCCCACACCCCCCGCATGCATGCATGACCTCCCACGCTCCCCGTCCCTCCACGCATCCCCGTCCCTCCCCCACATGCATGAGCGACCCCCCCAGCATTCCCCCACGCATGCACACGCTCCCACATGCTCCCCCTGCCCCCCACGCATTCACGCACTCCCACTGCCCCCCATGCATGCATACGTGTCTGCTGCATGTGCCCCGTGCATGTGCAGCAGAGACCCAAAAATCAGCTGGCCAGCGGGAGGTGCACGCGCGTGCACGGTGGAGCTGAGCTGGGGCAACGGCTTGCGTGCCCACAGAGAGGGCTCTGCGTGCCAAGGAAGCTCAGGAAAAGGCTGAGCCAGATTATCAGTAAGTGAGTTTCCAAGAATTAATTGCCCTGCATAGTTTCTTAGTCCGGGTACTACCTAACAAAGCATGGATTCCTTTCAAAATGCAGATTATACAATGCAAACTAAAAAATCTATATGAGTTGCTGCGGGCTATTGTTTTAGACATACACACGCATACACACACACAAAAAAATATGTCTTGTGCATGTCAACTTTCAAACGTAAGACACAAAGAATAAGACAGGCTTGTATCTATCATCTAGAATTGAACTGAATGGAACGGAAACTGAGCCACCAGCTTTTATTGAATTGCGTGAGACTGTGGGGAGGGTTCTCAGACAAGCTGGCTGGGGATGATGGGAGCTGTGGTCTCAAATACCTGGAGGATGCCTCCTGAGGCAAGGCTGATGTGCAGTTCTGAGTCAAAATGAGATACTATTAATATGGAGGTTGTTAAGGAGTGAACAATGGAATTTGCTGTCCGAAATATCCTCCCTTTTAAACTGAAATGCAAGATTGTTTTTTTATGACACACAAACACACAGACACACCCTGGTTCACACAATCAAACATTAAAAAAAAAATCTGCAAAATGACAATACTGATGTGGTTTGCCAGAAATCATAGGGAGATTTTGCCAGGGAATATAGAAAGCTACCCCACTTGACCCATAATTTCTTAACTTTTTATTTATTGGTATTTATCTGTATCCCGCCTTGATTATTTTTACAAATAAGGCAGCAAACATACCTAATCTTCCTTGCTCCTTTCTCCTCCTCCTTTCTTCACAATAACAACCCTGTGAGGTGGGTTGGGCTGAGAGAGATAGACTGGCCCAAAGTTACCTTCATCCCTAAGGCAGGACTGGAACTCCCAGTCTCCTAGTGATTGGCCTAAAGTCATCCAGCTGAGTTTTATATAGCTAAGGAAGGACTAGAACTCCCAGTCTCCTAGTGATTGGCCTAAAGTCATCCAGCTGTCTTTTATGCCTAAGGTGGAACTAGAACTCACAGGCTCCTGCTTTCTAGCTTCTAGCCTGCTGCCCGTAGACCAAATTGGCTCTCTAATGCCTTCTTTCAGCTTCCATGTTTTGACGCAGGGACTGTAGGAGACTGAGCAGCGGGGAAACCTCACATGAGCCTTGGTGGTGCAGCGGACTAAGTGCTGTTATGTAGCACTTAGCTGCCAGCTGCCTGCAATTAGTGCAAGTTCAAATCTCACCAGGCTCAAGTTTGACTCAGCCTTCCATCCTTCCGAGGTAGGTAAATTGAGGACCCGGATTGTGGGGGCAATAAACTGACTTTGTAGAAACACCGCTTATGGCGGGCCAAAAGCCCTACTAAGCAGGTATATACCAAAGAATGAAGGCTATTGCTATAAGTGCATTGTAAGCGCCGTGAGTCTTCGGAGGAGGGCGGCATATAAATTGAACAAACAAACAAACAAATAAATAAATAAATTACAAACTTTGCTGAAAGGGTCCCTCAGATCTCATGGCTCAAGAGCAGAGGTGGTATTCAGCCGGTTCGGACTGGTTCGGGCAAACTGGTAGCACCTGCTCCAGCTCTATGCTGTACTATTTAGGCATGTTTTTGAGGCCGGGCACCTGTGCAGAAGGCGCACGCGTGAGCAAAGCACATGCGTAGAGGGCCAGGCACATGCACGGAGGTCACATTTTCAGTGCTGGGCGAACCGGTAGGTAAATTATGCGAATCCCACCTGTGCTCAAGAGACAGATAACCCAGCTGCTGGTGTCACCCCACCCCACAAAGAGCCCAAGGTCACTTCAATAGACTCCTTATTGATTTTTTAACATAACACATGCTACGTTTGCCATTTTAATATAAATAAGGCGCTCCGGCGATTCCTTTGTGAAAAGCCAACTTTCTTTCAACCGAAAGCGCGCCGAAGAGGGCGAAAGAGATTGCGGTGGGTGCCAGTTTTGCAAGCCAGGGGAAGGGGAAAAAAAAAAAGCTTTGATGTAGCAATTCGCAGGACACCTATTTTCTCCTGCCCTCCTGTTGGAAAGTTTGGCCGTTTCTTAGGCTCTGCGCACTGGAGAGTTGCAGAGAACGAGCAGCTGTGTAAATACGTCCCAAGAAATATCAAAAAGGAGGGATTCACTAGAGCTAGCTGTACACAAATGGGAGATTAGGGCCTAAACCTGTCCTTTCAAGCTTTCTAAAAATACCTCTAAAAGAGATAATTGCACATCTGTTAAGAGGAGGAAAACTCTCAGCACAAAGCAAAACAAAATTGGAGCAAACTTTAGGAAAGACGCATGTTCGGTGTATGAAATTTAGCTGTTGTTTTTTTTTTAATTGTGAAGACTTCGTCCTGTGTCATCTCACAAAATGGCAGGTAGTCCTTGACATACAAGCGTTCGTTTAGTGACTGCCTCGAAGTTACAAAGGCACTGAAAACAGTGACTTGTGGCCGTTTTTTTCACACTTACAAGCATTGTAGCACCCCCACGGTCTCGCAATCAAAATTTGGACTCTTGGCAACTGGCATTGTATTTCTGGACGGCTGCACTGTCCCTGGGTCACGTGATGACCTTTTGTGACCTTCTGGCAAGCAAAGTCCACGGGGATTGACCACGGGGGATGCTGCGAGGGTCACAAGTTTGAAAAATAGCCATACGTCACTTTGTCCAGTGCCAGTTGTTAACTTTGAATGGTCACTAAATGGTTTCCTCTGTGTTAGATAATAATATACGGGGGGTATGTGGTTGCATGCATATTTATTTATTTATTTATTTGTCATGTTTTATGTAGCGTATATTGGAGGTGGTGACCCTTTGAGAGCTGTGTGCAACGAACCCAAAGGTGCTTTTCTTCAAGGGGAAACTGGACTTTCTTGTTTTTTCTTTGACGTTTCGCTTCTCATCCAAGAAGCTTCTTCAGCTCTGACTGGATGGTGGGGAAGGGAAGGATGTATATTCCTTGCAGACAGCTGGTCATTTGCATCCTTTTGGAGTCATTGAGGCCACTTGGAGGTTTGTCTGTGTCCTCAGGGTTACCACACCCATTTATTTATTTTATTGGTTCAATTTATATGCCGCCCTCCTCCGAAGACTCAGGGCGGCTTACAATGTGTTAAGCAATAGCCTTCATACTTTTGTATATTTATACAAAGTCAGCTTATTGCCCC